AGTTATTGAGATTTGACCAAGCTTCTGTTAGTGCATGCCCTGTGAGATTTCGTGGAACACAAAAGTGATCTGTGCCCGACAAATGCCGTCGAAGAATTTCATGCTCTTCCATCAGACGATTATATTCCCTAGCACGATCCGCCATACATTCATCACGATATTTCTCAAATTTCATGAAGAGATTCGGTCGGCGACACTGCGAATCTGTCTGTCTCATCATCTATCAGTCTCGTTAGACTTTGTCCAACAGAACAGTTGACCCTGATGCCAGGCGCTTTCGCGCTGAACTGATAAAATATTCTTCGGGTCGAAATACACCCAGAGACAACTTTTCAGTCAAATGTTTAGTCAGAGACAAATTTCCAGTAAAATCCCGCTTGATTCTTGAGGAATGGGGGCAGTAAAGGGGAAATAGTGCCATTTTTTCTAATCAATAATAAACGAACTGTCGATAGAAATCATTGGCTTCTGGATGATTTTGTGATTTGAGCTCTTCGACATCGTCAAAGAATCCTCCAATGGGAACTTCCAACGCATTCAGATCATCCACAATCTCATTCACAGTCCTTTCAATCTCTCCAGGACGAGCTGTGTCCACACGTGACTCAACCTCCTCAATACCTAGAAAACCGATTACGACGGTAGTTTTTTGAAATGAGAGAAGGCTATCATTACAGCAGTCAGAGGAAGAGAGAGAGAAGCGATTGAAAAAAGTCTCTTACGAGTAAGAATCAGATCGAGTTTCTCGTTTGTGATTCCAATTCCACGAGACAATCTGCTAATCAAGTCAGCCAAATTACTCTGTAATGAATTGATTAAGGATCTCACACAGCGTCAAGGTCGATCGCAATCAGACTGAGGTGCAGACTGGCTAATGTGAGACTTGCGGAAAAACCATGCAAACCAAATTTTCTATCAAAAACATGAAAGCAAGCAATATTAGGATGCGAAAGAGACGAACCTGAATGATCTTTTGTCGAAGGCAAGTGAGTTTGTGATCATTCAGGTATGTGAGATTTGACCAAGCTTCTGTTAGTGCATGCCCTGTGAGATTTCGTGGAACACAAAAGTGATCTGTGCCCGACAAATGCCGTCGAAGAATTTCATGCTCTTCCATCAGACGATTATATTCCCTAGCACGATCCGCCATACATTCATCGCGATATTTCTCAAATTTCATGAGAGATTCTGTCGGCGACACTGCGAATCTGTCTGTCTCATCATCTATCAGCCGAGTCGCTCTCTCCACCAATTCCATCCATGCACGTGCTTCCACTATGTACTGTTCTTGCATTGAGATGAACTGAGTAAATAAGGTTAGTTCAAGCGATGCAGGACAATGTTGTTAAGTGCAAAATCAGCTCATGTGACACAACAACTGGGCAAAAGGTGCAACTTGGCAGGGTGCAAAAAAACAATACCTTGGATAGTTCAGGAAGGTGTGGCAGGGCGTTGTACAATGACGAAACGTAGGTGATGATGGACTTTTCATCAGGGTGATCGGTGTCCACGTCTTGTGCATCAAGCAAACGATCGACACCGAATTCCCTCTCTGCCGCTGCGAAGGCGTTTTCCAACCGCTCGCGATTTGACACCGAACTGTCGCTAACCTGAAACCAAACAGCTTCACCAAGTTTACAGGTAACTTGAACTTTCCTATGGTCCTGCCACGAATGGCTAGAGCACAGACGATTAGAGAACGGCGCCTGGCTTGGCTCCGAAATCCCAAGGACAAAGGTCAGAGATCTAGGACTAAGCCCTGGAGAGAAGAAAGGACTCCGCGGTAGGCTGTTCGAAGGACTGATGTTAATCCTTTACAGAAAGAATGCCTTCCAAATAGCCTTTTTCCCACACACCTTTGAAAAATGGCCATTAAACAGTCGTGATTCGCCTACTACGGAAGAATATCACCGAAGGCCGTGTTACACTGCTCAATTGAGGCGCTATCGCAATATACGGGGGCATCCTTCAGGACTGAGCCAAGGAGGGAGCAGAAACCCGGGGAAAATGAAAATGGCTCACGCACCCTGGAGTCTCGTCTCCCTGCCTAAGGCTAGTCCCATTTTTAACAAAAGGAAACGTTTTACGCGGTTTCAAATGCAATGCCACCACAATGCCCCCATATATTGCGATAGCGCCTTCAATTGATTCAGAAGTAAAACCCAGCACATAAACCCCGCAGAAGTTTATTTATGAAACGTCCTATAATGCGCTGGACGGGGCTCCGTGACCCACTCACCACGAGGCTATTAACCTGTATGCTTAGTGACTCACATAACTAACATTTTTTATCCTTACATT